TGAAAACATGCTTATCAATATGAAACATTCGAAAAGGAACGAGCAATGGTCTCTTTATTGAATAAGGGGACAAAGCCAATAACAATAATTTTCTCTCTTCAATAATTTCTTCATGTTAAATCATTTAGTACTATGTGTAGGAGCTTCATTTTTTTGTTGTGTTTAAGATTGGTTATACAAAGAAAGGTGAAAAGTATATTCCAACGAAAAATATGTTTTTAGAATTATTTTTAAGAGCTCACTTTCGAAATCCATTTTCTAGACAATCACTTATCCCTTCCAAAATCCCCTTTCCACATAAGGGTTTTTCTCTTCTGAAAAATATTTCTAGACTACTTAATAGTTCAAGTATCAAATCTCCATAGAGATAAACTACTAATTCTAAAATTTAAAAACGAAATTTAATAATAATCAGAAGGGAAAAGATATAACACAACCCTCCAATCAAAAATCAATATCAATATCATCAATTATTTTTTTTATTAAAGTGGAAAACAAATGACCGAACAGAGCAAGAGTAACCAATTGCAGTGTCGCGAGTTACTTTGTGTGAGTTAGAGAGAGAGGATGGAGATGAGAGAGAAACAAATTTGATAAGTGAGCAAGATGGATAGGGTTAGATGAATGTTTCTGATTTTTTTCAGTTGGAACTACTGTAGGGATGAGCGATAGAATGTTAGAGTGAGAGAGATGAGAGAGAAAGAGCTGAGAAGAATGAGGGATGAGAGCGGTGAGTAAGGATTCGAGGTTTCTTGTTTTTCTTTTTAAATTTTGAGAATGAAAATTATTCAAATAACCTTAACCTTAAAACTGAGAATCTATACTATATGAGATATACATATATCAACTAAAAAACTGAGCGTATATATATAAACCCATATATATATATATATATATAATAAATTATTGAATGCGTTAGAATAATTATATTTTATTAATTAATTTTATAAAAGGATTTAATTAATTAATTATGATTAAAGACCTATATGTTATAACAATTAATATTTTATTTTACTAAGAAACCAAATTAAAATATTAAAACTTAAAAAAGTAACTGACATAAATTATATAAATAAATAATGATTTATATATGTGTAAACACATTTATCGTTTATCATTTCTGTTTTTTTATGTCATAAAAAAAAACGTGCTCAACAGAAATAACATCAATATCTAATTTTTTAAGCTTTCGTTTTTTAAACTTTCCTTCTGTTCTAAAGAAAATTAAAAACTGCTCCATTTGATTGTTGTTTCTAATAAATTGTTACAAGTTTGGGAAATTCTTTACTTTAATACTTTTGATATGTGGTTTTATTTCCTGTATCATTATATTTAAATATATGTTTAAAAAATAAAAAAAACAACGAAACATATACTTGATTATTAAACACATTAAATAGAAATATTAATTGTATATTAATTATTAAAGTTATTTCTGAGATGATTGACAAAGTCTAATATGAGTTAGAAAGAATATCCACATGTTGAGAATTGGAATCACTCGTTAAATATGGCTTCTGCTATTGCTGTTGTCCTCATTTTTTCTCTCAGCCACTCTTTTAACTCTCTTATTACTCTCTCTATTCTGCAATTGAAATGGTTTCAGAAGCAGAGACAGAGCATCCCATCAAAGCATTTGGATGGGCAGCAAGGGACACTTCTGGCATTCTCTCCCCTTTCAATTTCTCCAGAAGGTATTATCTTCTCAAATTACTTTTGTTCATTCATTTTTCTTTTATTTTCAACCACAATTCATCAATTGACTATTGTTATTTTTTTTCCTTTTAGTTTTTGTACTGTTCTAATTCTCATTACATTTTATTCATCTTCAATTTGTTTTTTTCCAAAATATTCAATAAGGACTAAAATGCAAATGGTTTACATATATATAGTAGTTTTTTTTTCAGAAATTAAAATAAAATAATTACAGAGATAGGATTTAAATATAATGATGAAGGAAATAAGAACACAAATCAAAAGTATTAAAGTAAAGGATTTCCCAAACTTCTAACAATTTATTAGAAACAACAAGAAAAAAAA